TATCAGGCCTAACTTTTATGGCCCGATTACAGGTCTAGTTCAGACGCCACCTCACAGTCAGCTATAACAGTTTCATTTCACCGCCAGACACCCAAAATGCATGTACTGTGGGTTATCCATACTTTGACGAGGCACAATTCATATAAATCTAACGAGGACATTAAATTGAGTAGCATATTCCAAAGAAATTATGAACTTTTTGGGTCTTGAATTATATTTGTTGAGGTCTTAAAAAGGTCCTAAAAAGTATTAAATTTTACTTTTAAAATGGTGCAAGCACCCTGGGTATGATGTTGCCATTCCTTTTCACAACACTTGAAAGAAATTTAGTGACTGAAGACACCTAGTGCTCACAGAAAAAAGGTTGCTGGGTTGCTGGTTCGAACTTTGGGCTCAGTTAGCGTTTCTGTGTGGAGTTTGCATGTTCTCCGGTTTCCCCCACAGTCCAAAGACATGCGGTACAGGTGAATTGGGTAGGCTAAATTGTCCGTAGCGTAAGAGTGTGTGTGTATGGATGTTTCCCAGAGATGGGTTGCAGCTGGAAGGGCATCCGCTGCCTAAAAACGTGCTGGATAAGTTGGCGGTTCATTCCGCTGTGGCGACCCTTAATAAAGGGACTAAGCCGACAAGAAAATGAATGAAAATGAGCCACGCATTTTCTGTTAGGGACAGATCGGGACTGCAGGCACACCAGTTAAGTATCTGTATACTTTTCCTCTGCAGCAGGACTTTGCAATGTGATTTGGCCATTATATACATATATAACCATTCTGGCTTGTTTTATCTAGGATATTCAGTACTTCTCTTTACACAACGCTCCCTTAAAAAAACAACAACAGAAGCTGTAGACTTTCTGTAATGTAGAGGCACAGTTGCACAAAACATCCAATTACCTGCTTTAAAAAAAAGGCAAACCCAGCATCACCTCTCACCCCACTCCTGGGCCTCCAGCAGGTCCTGTGAAGCCCGCGCTGGAGTCATTTCAGCAGGCACTTACAGTCGTCCCCTCTCCTGCTTTGTGAGATTGGCTAAATTGGTGACACTGGCTGTAACCGAACACCTCACTGTCATCATTCATCTGCTGAGCCATTGTTGGAGCTGCGTGTCACGCTTGTCCTCACTTAACGGAATACTTTGCACGTAAGAGCAGATGGCGCGCTTTTACAGATCAAATTATTTACCGCAGGGAGACTTGCGGACTCCACACACAAACCTAAACATGCTTCAATGTGGGCTGAGAATAGAATAGCAAAGTACAAGTACAATGAAATTTAAGTGCAAACCTCGGGCGTCACAGTGGAATGAACCACCAACAATTCCAGCATATGTTTTACACAGCGGATGCCCTTCCACCTGCAATTCAACACTAGGAAACACCCATACACTCTCATTCACACACACACTCATACACTACGGCCAATTTAGTCCATCAATTTCCCTATTGTGCTTGTGTTGGGACTGTGGGGGAAACCGGAGCACCTGGAGGAAACCCCCACCAACACGGGGAGAACATGCAAACTCCACACAGAAATGCCAACTGACCCATCTGGGACTCCAACCAGCATCCTTCTTGCTGTGAGGCCACAGTCTAATATTATTTACTGTCATCATGACAAAGATAAAATAAATTAGAGATGTTATTAGAGATGAGTCACTAAAACTAATATGATTAGAAATGTGTTGAAAAAAAAAATCTGCTCTCTGTTAAACAGAAATTGGGGGGAAAAATAAACATGGGGGCAATTTATTCAGGGGGCTAATAATTTTGACTTCAACTGTATGTTTACCTCTGCTCTGAGGCTCTAGGTTCACCTTTTGGTTGGTCTAACCAATAGCAGAAAAGCAACAACTAGGAAGGCGGGTAAAAAGATAGTAGAGCCCCATCTGATTGGTCAAATGTGAATAAGCAACCCATGCATGCAACAAACAAATGCTGGGCTCATACAATAAATTGAATGTATCACAGCTTATTACAATGTAAATGTTTCAAGATATTGGGCCCGTTTCAGAAAGGAGGTTAAGTGAAAACTCAAGAGTATTTTAACTCTGAAATGAGAGAAAATCTGGGTTTTCCGTTTCAAAATGGCAGGTTTGTTAAAATCAAGAAAGCAGGGTAAGTCAAACCTGTTTCTGAAAGAGAGGTATCGTGGTAACTTACTCTGTTAACCTAACCTGGTGAGTAGCAAGTTTTATTCTCTAAACTCGCATTTTCTGTCCGTCTCCTCCTCTTTTTTAAAGACGAAGCGGTTTAAGTTTAAACTCTGAGTTGGTTGAAGCTCCTTACTGAAATAGGCCCATTGTGCAGCCCTAAACTGTAAACATAATAAAAGTCCGATGTTTATTTATTGATATATGAAATGAGACTGATAATGTCCGAGGTTTGTTCTCCATTTCTGGCAGTTGGTGGAGTTTTTTAATAGTAATAAGCAAGAAAATGCACGTTTGAGTCTAGGTTGGTGCAATTTGCTGTAAGATCATACACTCAAACAGTGCCTTTTGCTGCTTGTTTAAACTAGTTTAAAATGAGTTGAAACAATTGAGGTTTTTGGGGGGACTACTTAATTGTTTTATGTTCAATCTACTTTAATTTGTTAAAAAAAACAAAAAAAAAACAATTAAGTTAACTTAATTGATTTGTGTTGGGACAACATGAAATAATAGTGTGGAGCTCAGCATATTCTAGTGTACACTAAGGGTGCTTTCACACCTACACTTTTGTTACGGAACGTATCTCGTTTGCCCAGTTAGCGCGGTTCGATTGGCATATGTGAACAGGGCAATCGCGCTCTGTTCCGCGCCAAAGTAATCACTCTGAGATCGCTTGAATGAGGTGGTCTCGGCTCGATTGAAACGAACCCTGGAGCGGTTCGATTGCAGTGAGAAAGCGATCCGATCCAAGCACGGTAATATCACAGTGTTTTATGGATATGTAATAGGCTTACGGCTATATGGAGAGAGAATTATGAGTAGGGCGGGAAGTTTCACGAGTCTCCGGATGCCCGCAAACGAGTGATGATCTCCCGGTAATCTCACGTCTCCCTCCCGGTCCGCAAATAGGCATTGTCGCGCACCCTTCTCACCCCTCCCCACCGCGTCTCTCCTCAGACACGTCGCGCGCGCGCGCACCCTGTCAATCACCACCTCTCCTGACAGCTGAGCGGGACGCTGCAAAATAAACCCTGACACTCTGACCAATGTGAGGAGAGTTTACTCGCATGTGACTTTTTTTTTAGCTCTTTTGGTCCGATTAGAAACTTTGCAGTGTGAAAGCGAACCGCTCCAAGAGCAAAGAGCAACAATGTAACATTTGTAATCTCTGTTTTGGAACAACTGAATCGATTCACAGGTGTGAAAGCACCCTAAAAAATGCAGGGTTCCACACAATTCATTTAGGTGGTCGATTACGTTAACAAATTTAATTGAATTTAAGTACTATATGTAGTTTGAACAAGCAGCAAAATAGTTTTATTAAGTGTTTTTTACTGTGTCGTCCTTGAGAAAACACAGGTTTAACTGTTTTACCTGTATATAATTGCTTTTCTTGTATTCTGTTTGTCTTTAATGGACTTTGAGGCTGGAAATAAAGTTGAAAGTCTATTCCTTCCCCCAATCTCTTAATCTCCAGTCCTTATTAAAGGGCAAGTATTATGCCAAAGTCACTTTTATAAGGGGTTTAAACCTAATTGTGTGTCAGCAGTGTGTGGATATAACCAGCCTCTGATGGTATTCTGTTTTATGATCAGACTTGATAAAAACAGTCTGCAGAAACACTCTGGTGTGTGTTTCCCAAAACCATCGTTAGCCAACTAAGGTCGCAAGTTCCGTTGTTACAAACATAGTTTGTTGATTTGCCATTTCCCAAATCCGTCACTCCAACAAACATTCGCATACTGCGTCGCAAACATGAGCACTTGAAACTACAGCTCCGGAGCTGTAGTAAGAAACATAGTTCCTGGCTGTGTTCTATTCCCACTTATCCTCCCTATGCCCTAATCATTTAGAACATTCTAACATTCAAAGTTGGAATTATTAAAAATAAAAAAAGCATTAAGGTCATCTCTCTTAGGTGTAATTTGCTTTCAAAGTATTTTTAAAGTTCAGTTTTAGTGATCTTCATGTTTACAATTGTGCTCCCTTCGCAGCGCACTTTGAAAACATTGAAATCATTGCTTGTGAAAACAAACAAAAAAACATAGCATACGTTAATTATTTTAACTTATAGTAGATTATTAATTAAGTATCTCTAGTTTATATGACATGGGCCTTTTGGTTAGAACTTTCTGCTGTTGTTTGCATGTCAAATTGTAAAAGTAGACTTTAAAAAAAAACAATAAATAAACAACATCCTACTTAATAATAATAATAATAATAATAATATGAATGGGCGAGGCAGTGGCGCAGTAGGTAGTCCTGTCGCCTCACAGCAAGAAGGTCGCTGGTTTGAACCTCGGCTCAGTTGGCGTTTCTGTGTGGAGTTTGCATGTTCTCCCTGCCTTCGCGTGGGTTTCCTCCGGACTCCGGTTTCCCCCACAGTCCAAAGACATGTGGTGCAGGTGAATTGGGTAGGCTTAATTGTCCCTAGTGTATGAGTGTGTGTGTGAATGTGTGTGTGGATGCTTCCCAGAGATGGGTTGCGGCTGGAAGGGCGTCCGCTGCGTAAAAACTTGCTGGATAAGTTGGCGGTTCATTCCGCTGTGGCGACCCCGGATTAATAAAGGGGCAAAACTGACCAGAAAATGAATAAATAACATGAATAAAAACCATAATAATAATAATAATAAAATAATCATCATCATCATCATTATTAATAATAATAATAATGATGACTAAGGGACTAAGCCGAAAAGAAAATGAATTCATGAATAAAGGGGGATAACAGGTTTTCTTTAAAGAAAATGTGCCTAAAATGTTGACATACCTTACATTTCTGCAATGTTTACCCAAAACTATAATGGCGTTCGTATGTAATTGATGTATGTTCTGTCCTGTTGTTGTTTCAGAGTGGTGAGTGGAAGTAGAGAGTCCTACCTCCCCCCCTCCCTGCCCATTCCATCATCCGTAGAGCATCTTTCATGCGTCTCCCTGGGCCCGATTCCCACGTCAGGATGAACTGTGAGCAGGATTTTGGAGATGGAGGCATGAACGTCACTCTAACTCTCCGGCTGCTCATGCACGGCAAGGTAAATGCACACACACACACACACACAAAACACCTCAGCAAGACAACACCGGGAGTAATTTCAAAAACGAAACTGTTTCATGCCACAATTATTTTGTCAGCGCATTTGGTTGCTTCAACTTCTACTCGAATTCACTTGAGTTCTTAGTAAACAAATGGTTGTGGATTTCATCGCCGGGCCATTACAGTGTTGTCAACATGTTGGTTTAACTGCCAGCCAGCTGCCAATGATTTCCTCCCACATGCCTAGAACGCTTTTGATATTCTCATTTGCATATCACTGTAAACGAATGAGTCATTAAAAACAGTCATGAAAAACCAATGAAGGCATTATGAAGCTTTAATAAACCGATACATTTGTATGGTTTATGCACCAATTTACCTAAGTTCTCCATCAACAGATTGGGATTTGATGTTTCGATAAGGATAAACATAAGGATAAGGATAAACAAAAGACCTCATTTGAAACTTTGGGCTATTTTGACGATCCAGGTGCAAAGTGCAGGGTGCAAACGCATTAAGGTCGTGTCAGAATGCACTTTTGCTATTTTAAGGACGGAAAAATCCGCTTTGCGCCGTGGCACATGGTCTAACAGGGTTGAGCTTATTTTGCTATATGTTGATCACTTGTGTTTGATTAGGGTTTGAGTTTGGTGACCCCTGGGTTAAATTAATGTATTTGAATATATTTGCCAACAAATCAACAAAATGTAAAATAGGTACAAACTGCAATACTTAAGGCTGATTTATACTTCTGCGTCAAACACCGTCGTATGCTACGGCGCTGACGCATAGCCCTTCGCCGTGGCCATCGCCGTCACTGACGTGCACCTCTCAAAAATTGTAACTACACGTCGCAACGACGCGTAGCGTAAGCTCTGTGATTGGTCGGCTTGGTAGCGCTGACGAGTCTGGGCGGGACCGAGAGCTGCGCGAATGGCGCGACGCCGCGCGAGCGATTGTTTACAAGTGTGGAGTCCCGTGAAGGAGCTCCGGATGGAAAGTTTTGTTTTGTGTTTACCTCATAGTTAAAGTTGTTGCACGTCCGCCGGTTCCTGCCTCAAAATGAGCGAGTTTGAGCCACTTGTACATCCAGGAAGTGTTCAGGAAAAGCAAAAAAGTAGCAAAGAAACTCAACACAGAGGAACATTTACACCTCACTGCCAACTAGTGTTTCGGAAGTGTTAATGCAGACCGACAGAGACAGCGCGCAGAAGTATAAATGCACAGCCACCCGCGTTGCATGCGCCGTGGATTACGCCGGTCACCTGACGCAGAAGTATAAATCAGGCTTTAGTCAAGTCACTTTTAAATTACTGGAGTGTAACCAGACCAATGAAAATAATATAAATATGGGTCACACTTTATCATGATGATCCGTTTGATCAATTTAAGTGACGTTGCATCTACATGCCAACTCATTTTCATTAGATTATAAGTAGACTGTTAGGTTAGGGTTAGTGTAAGTTGACATGTACTTGCAAAGCTTCTTATAGTCAGTTAAATGTCTGTTGAAGTAGCAGTATCAGCAGATTTTAAGCAGACAGTCGACTAATACTCAAATTTACCATTAAAAAAAAGTGTTACTCAAATATGTTGAACTCTAAATGCTACTCTAAAGAAGAAAGTTTGCCTTTTAATATTCAATGAAAGGAATGTAATTAAAAACATTCTGTCCGACATCTTTATAGTGATAACTTTCACAATCCACTCAGTTCCCAGCAAATAGAACCAAGTTTTGTTGGGGAGCATCTCACTTTTTGGTAACATAAATCAAATTATTTATAAACAGCATTTTGTGTGGACTACAGACCCAAGATGGGCCATTTAAAAGGTACACAGTGCTTCTGCAGAGCCTGTAGGGTCCTGAACCAATATGATCCCCAGCACTCCAAACCCACAGACGGATGAGCGGCGAGTGAACGCAGCAATCAATAAGCTGACATTTGTTTTGTTTCTCTTTTCACAGGAGGTCGGCAGCATCATAGGCAAGGTGAGCGAATATCTTTGTTCCAGTTGTCCCCACTGTTGACTTATTAAATTTGGTGGCTGTGACTTGAGATTTTTGTCACTATTGGGTTTGTTTGTTTTTCTTCTGTATTGGATTGTTCTTGCCATCGTTCTCACAAACCTCGAGGTCACAATCCAAAAGCTTACCGAATGCATCAAGATTCAATGTTTCTGGCAAATGGCTTGTTAAATGCGACGAGTCGTGAATCATATGTATTAATGATCTGGATGTATTGCGCTGCTAAATTCTACAGTTTGCTCTTGTTTATCCCTAGAGCGGGTGCAATTGTCTAAACATGGCACAATCTCTGGGAGAGGCCCGATGTAGATGTCACAATGATTAGTAAACAATGTGTCAGCTACTGATGAGATGAGGGTTTTTTTGGCCTTCTTCGGCTAACTCTAGGTCCCGGAGCGACAAAAGGCATACATGCTCAAATACACACAGTTGTTGGCATTTCCTTGGCTCCAAATAAATCTCTTGTGACACAAAGCTCTCTTCAGAACTGGCCTGCTAATAGGTCTCTGGGCCTTTGCCAGGGTTTGGCCGCAGGACAAGAGCCAGACGGAAGAATACAGACCGCTCCACAGGGGTCTTCGGAAAAACCCAGTTCACTCTTTTGTATAGCACTAGAAGAACTGAACTATTAACAAAGTATGTAACAGTGTCCTCAAAGTGGCATCTTCAGATTAATCCAGGCAAAGCAAGATCGAGTTTAGCCGGACTCTTCTTTTTGTAAGGGTTTTATTGAGCCTTGTTGCAACAAGTGTGAGCAAAACTTATTCTCCTTGCAGCTTTTCTACTAAATCTGTCAGTTTTTATGGAGATGCAGCATATAAAACAAAAGCTTTAAAACGATTATGGAGACCTTTAAAGAAGGAGGAGGGATATGTAAACAGAGCATTAGTTCTCTCATTGGGAATTGCTGAAAAACGATCATGCTTAGTCATGTTCAAGTCACGATCAGTTAAACGATGACTGTCACGTCCTCGGTTGTCTTCATGTTCACTCTATTCTCTGAATCAGAGCACAAGAATGAAGGCCTATGGTGAATATCTCCCCACTGAGAAATCAATACACCAAAGGCTTGGTTTCCTGGACACAGATTAAACACAATCCTGGACTAAAGGACTGCGCTGTTTCTCCATCACAAATTTCCGTCGGAGATATTGGTGGGGGAGGGCAATATAGAGTCGATTACTATTCGTAACGCATCTACAGGAGAAAGAAATGAAGGTGAATTGTAAATTATAAGCGGTATAAGAGCTTAGAGACAGTGGGCGATGTTTAATTTGACATGAATAGAAAATGAGGCTTTCAGTGGTGGAAGTACAGAGAGGTATTCATGGAACAAGAGCAGAACCAATTACTTTGTTCAAGCTAGCTCTCTGTTCGTAAAACATTTCCGTGTGATTTGTTGCGGTGAATTAAAATGTATGTTTTTTTATGAATGGTTTAGACACAAACTGATTTCTCTGCCGTTTGTTTACTGGTTGTAGTTTAAATCAATCTGAATTTATTTAGGAATGGGTTTTAGTTGATTAAAATATTCAAAATTATTGTAAACTAAGTTTGAGTTTTATTTTGAAATGTTATTTTTGTATTTTCCTTTTTGTTTTTTCATTTTCCAATAATTGATTAATTTCAGTTCCAGTTTTAGTTATTTAGTTCACTGTTAGATATTAATTAGTTAATTGGATATATAAATAATCAAATAAATCAATACATACAGATAGATAGATAGATAGATAGACAGACAGACGGACGGACGGATGGATAGACTCATTCAATCTAGATAGATGGATGGATAGATAGATTCTGATTCAATGTAAATGGCTGGATGGATGGATGGATGGATGGATGATGGATAAATGGATGGATGGATGGATGCATGGATGGATGGATGAATAGATGGATGGATGGATGGATGGATAGTCTCAGATTCAATCTGGATGGATGGATGGATGGATGGATGGATGGATGGATGGATAGATATGGATGGATGGATGGATGGATGGATGGATGGATAGTCTCAGATTCAATCTGGATGGATGGATGGATGGATGGATGGATGGATGGATAGATATATTCAGATTCAATTTAATTGGATGGATGGATGGATGGATGGATGGATGGATAGATGGATGGATGGATGGATAGACTCAGATTTAATCTAGATGGATAGATGGATGGATGGATGGATGGATGGGTCGATAGACTCAGATTTAATCTAGATGGATGGATGGATGGATGGATGGATGGATGGATGGATGGATGGATGGGTGGGTGGATAGACTCAGATTTAATCTAGATGGATGGATGGATGGATGGATGGATTGATGGATTCAGATTTAAATTAGATGGATGAATAGATGGATGGATGGATGGATGGATGGATGGATGCATAGACTCAGATTTAATCTAGATGGATGGATGGATGGGTAGGTAGGTGGGGGGGTGGGTGAGTGGAAGAACAGACGGACGGATGATGGATGGATGAATAGTCTCAGATTCAATTTAGATGGATGGATGGATGGATGGATGGATGGATGGATGTATGGATAGATGGATGGATGGATATACTCAAATTCAATCTAGATAGATGGATGGAGGGATGGATGGATAGACTCAGATTTAATCTAGATGGATAGATAGATATATTAATGGATGGATGGATGGATGGATGGATGGATGGATGGATGGATAGATAGATACAATCTAGATGGATGGATGGATGGATGGATGGATGGATGGATATACTAATTTAATCTAGATAGATGAATGGATGGATGGATGGATGGATGGATGGATGGATATATGGATGGATGGATGGATGAATGGATAGACTCAGATTTAATCTAGATGGATGGATAGATGGATGAATGGATGTATAGATAGATTCATATTTGATTTGGATGGATGGATGGATGGAGGGATAGACAGACAGATATATTGTTAATCTATTTAACCGTGGCTAACATGTGTTAGTATGTTTATAGAATTGTTCAGCACTGTTTTCTACAGGTTAGTCAACAAAAACTGCTACATGCAGCACAGTTCAAAGTTTTGAACAACTTTGTGTCGTGAAATGTTTATTGGCATTAAGGCTAGATTGATGAGGCAGTGGTCCAGTAAAACGTCTCATCCGAAATGTCAATTTTTGTGATAAACGAATCCCCACTTCACCTCTGTTATGACACATCCACTCATCCTGTTAGCCCATCGAAAGACAATGAAACGCCAGTCAAGCGTGCTAAAGCAGGTTGTTGGATCTGCAGTCATGACTACGCTGCACACGCTAGCCTCTATATCTGACACACTATCTCAGCCTATCTAAGTGATTCATGGACTATTGATTCCCTAGTCAGTCCAATTGCAGGGCCTTCGATTGGAAAACCTGTTCCCCCGAGGCCTATCCATGCAGATGCCATATTGCTGTGTAGCGGAGCAGAATTGATATTAATTTGAGCTATCTGTTCAACTAGTCAGACTCACTTCACCCTCCGCTGTAAGCCATTGTGAACGGCAGTCACTTCAGGAAAATGACGTATCACACAAAACAAACACGAGACATAGGCAATGAGTGCTTTATGATCTTCTCTGTTCTCTTTCTGCAGAAAGGAGAGACGGTGAAAAGGATACGAGAGGAGGTAAGCTAGCTACATGCTACTTTGTCTTTCTCAGCCACCCAAGAAAGCAAAACTGACATTACACCCCTTTCAAGTGGAATCCTACACATAAATGTGCTTTAGAAACATGCAGAAATGCCCTCAGCTCCCACAGAACTGTTGACGTCCGCCACATTAAAGCTGGAAGACTGCAGAAGACATGAATATTTAAATGAAGGCTTTCATCTCAAGGGCGCATGACGCTCACCCTGCGAACACACATTCATTAGTTCGGTATGAATGCGTTGGTATTTTCAAGGTAGCCGCTAATAACAATAGCTTCAGGATAGAGGTTGAAGTAGGTTAGAAAAACCAGCGGCGTGGGTGAACTTCCAGGAAAAGAAATAATAATAAATGCACTGATGGTCAGCTCTTCCTGAGCTAAAGGAAGCACACATCACCATTGTTTATCTAGCTCGCCTGCACCCTCATCTAATGGCTTTTGCTCCTTAACGACATGAAATGTCAAAAGATTGCGCTTTCTTTCAAGCTAATTAGCGGTTCGGAGGGGTGGTGGGTGTCAGCACAAGCCTGCACTTGAGGTATTTTCTATTGCATTAGTCGGGACACTGCAGGGGTCAATCCTGGGCCTGATAGATGTCACAAAAGAAACTGCCAGTGGATGTTTTTTTACTGCTGTTTGCTGCTATTATTAGCAGAAGGAGTTCAAAGGAAGAGTTCTTGTTAAAAAAATAAAGCTGTTGACAGGGTGTCACTACAGTTTCATTAGATAAAAAAATCTAGATGTTTTGAAGAATGTTCACTCTTTTTCATACAACAAAAGCATAGTTATGAGAAACTGTGAGGCTCACAGAAAGCTTTTTGCTAACAATGTGCATTGCAATCAGTCATATATATATACACTAGATATCGCAAACGGACCCTGAGCATGCATCAATACCGCCGCCATATTGGTACAGTGCTCCAAAGATAAAAGTTATTCCACCGCACTAGTCAAGACTAACCAGTTAAACTCTGTTATTTCAGGATTTCCGGCTGGATCTTGCCTACCCAAACTTAAAAGCTTCCCAAATCCACATGCAGAGGTGTAAATTCAAAAATTTGGTATCATTTTAAAGAAAACCCTTTGAATTTTCATAAAACACTATTGAAAGTGTTTAAAATAACTGTATATGTTGTCTGTGTTATAATGAACACCTAAAAAAGAGGCGCTTTTTGTATTTTTTTTTTTATAAACTCAAATTTGTAAGTGTACCTTTTAGGTTTTGTGTGGTCTAGCGTGCTGTAATTAATTTTGGTGGTCCCTGCACATGTTTGTAATCATAAGAAAAAAGAAAAATGTCTCTACCATAGTCTATGCAAAAGTTATTGTCTTCCAACTAGTGATAGGTGCTGTACAAGCCGCAGGGACTGATCATTGTTTTCATATTTCACTATTCTTTTATTTGATCAAACATAATTCAATGTTTGGACCACATCAGACATATAAAAGAATTACTTACGCACATCACCTCAAAAACAGAGGAGAATGGCCCTGAAGCACTCAGCATAAGGTAAGAGATGACAGCTGTCTGTGCTATCTGGGGCTACTAAGTGATCATTAATGTTTTGTTTTCATTTCTGCGCCTTTCATTCAACAACTGTTTGATATGTAAATATAATTCAGTAAAAAGAATGCTAGAACCGTATGAGCACCGGCAAGAGCTTTCATTTGAACTATAACTTGTACATGTGTCATATATGAACCATATGAAAAATATGAAAACTGAGGACTAAGGACTAGAACCAGTGACGTTCTTGCTGTGAGGCAACAGTGCTAACCAATGAGCCTCACTAGGAAAGGAGGAGGAGTATAAGTGGAAGGGGGGAATCTTCAAAAGGAAGATGGCTGTTATATGGAACTTTTATAGTGGCTTAAGAACCATCTGATTGGAGAATCATAAATTGGATAATGCATACAGTATAAGCATGTGATCCTCTCGAAATTAGTTTATAAATAAACTTCGCTTATTATTACATAATTTAACAATGATATAAATACCTAGAAAATACCTAAATTAAAGCACCGAGACAGGGCTGACGAACTCAGTTGCATGTGCATGCATTTGTGCATGATTGATAGAGAAATCAGTGTAAGTGAAGCTGACAGTCTGAGCCCGGCAGGAGCGTGAATCACGCAGTCCAGTCCAGATCTCTACTGGAGACATTTGGACTGAGCACACACAGTACACACACACACATCTTAAATAAGGCATATGCAAGCAAACTAGTTTCTCTTAGGAGGACAGGTAAATTTGTGTTTCACAAACATACTGAACTTTGATTTGAACCGCATCCCAATCCAACATGACAGTGTTTCTGTTTTCTACTATTTTCCTGAGAGTCCTCGGAGAAATTGAATGCTGTCTGGATTGGTGTGTGTCGTGGTATATTCACTTTTTCACAGGCGTAACTAAAACTAAATTTCGTATCGCTGTGCCTGGTGCGCCTTCATTATGGATTACGCTGTTTTTGCCAACTTGCAGTGTACAATAACAGTTGGCGGTTCAAGTACAGCTGGCATCCTACCTGACGCAACAAGAACATGCCTTTTAGTCTTTTATTATGCTCTCAAAAATGCACAAAATCCACACACTACCTTTTCTTTTCCCCCAAAGTGCATCATTTGAAAAGCTCTTTTTTAAAACACACACACACACACAAACACACTCACACACCCAAACACACACACACACCTCTTACATATTTTATGTTTGAGGTTAAAATAAAACACAATGCAAGGTCGCAGCTTCACCAACGTGCTGGTCAGAAGTCAACGTGACTCAAAGAAATCAATTATTTTCTTCACATCGCTTATATTGTCTTATTGCTCATTGTCATAACTTTAAAGGGCACCTATGGTGAAAAATCTACTTTTGAAGCTGTTTGGACAAACATATGTTTATATATAGTGTATAGACCATCATATTGGGGTGATATAAACACACCCAGTCCTTTTTTTTCAATTTAACAACATAAAAACTGTGGACCAATTAGAGCGGTTTTTAGACCGACCGCAAATTTACGTAGGGGTGCGATCCCCCCGCCCACCGAATTGATTGACAGCTGCGCGCATTAACATGTTCCGGTAGTCGCGTGTATATGTCAACAAGACCAGGCAGACATACGCAAAGCAACCGGGAATAAAAGGTCTGTTCTGTTCGCTAGGATCAGCAATCATCATCAAATGTGATTAAGAGTAAGTTTCACATGTTTAAAGTGTTTTAAAATAGAGTATGTGTGTAATTAATTACAGCGATTTACTTCAGCTTTACTTCAGCTTTATAATTGTTGTCAGAACAATTATAAAAGAAGACGCTTCAATCCCAGTTCGTGGAAGTTAAATCAGGTTTATTTTGTACAATAGTATAACAGATATCCACACAGCACTGGAGGTTAGCCTGTATCCTGACACATTTGAGTGCAAAAACAGTGCTAAGCTAAGCGCGCTCTGTCTGTCTGCCTGCCTGCCTATGTGTGTGTGTGTGTGTCAGCTGGGGTGTGCGTGTGTATCTCTGTGTGTCTGTGTGTGTGTGTGTGTGTGTGCGCGAACATTTTGTAGATAGACAGTAGGCGGGCAGAACTCGCCTTAAAGGCGCAGAACAACAAAACCACCATCTGCTGGAAATCGGTATAAAACAGCATCTTGTAAAAGGTATAATGAAAAATCTGATGGGTGTTTTGAGCTTAAACTTTATATACACATTCTAGAGACGCAAAAGACTTATATTAAATCTGAAAAAAGGGGTAACCTATGTGCCCTTTAATAATGACACATGCCAGGCGAGCGGGACTGCAAAATAAACTGTGAAACTTTGACCAATGTTAGGTGTGCTTACTCACTCATGACTTGTTTTAGCTATTTTGGTCCGTTTAGAAACTTTGCCGTGTGAAAGCGAACTGCAGCAAGAGCAAAGAGCAACAATGTAACAATTTCAATCCCTGTTTCAGAACAAATGAATCGATTGACAGGTGTGAAAGCACCCTAAATGAATAATATCAACAGCAAAACCATATTGGGGTGGCAACAGAAGTGGATAGAATTTAGACACCTTGTGGGCGCCCCGGCCAGAAACACCGTTATTTTGTTTGTTTGTTTTTTGCACTGCAATTGATGATCAACAGTTTAAATGACAAACTGTACCTATTCCCAACAAGAACAAAGAACAGCAACAATTAAGAATGCATGATTATATGGTGCCATGGCTTTGCAATCAAAAAATGTGATTATAATGGAAGTCAATGGGGCAAAAACAGCACCAACATAACCAAAGTATTTGCTCAGCGTATATTGTTGTATTTTTGAAAAATGTCCAAGCATTTTCCCAAAATATCTGTCAAAATATGTTTAGTCACCAAAAATAATTCCACTTGCTGAATATAGTAAACGTTGTGGCCAAATTAAGCCTCAAGGCTGATTTATACGTCAAACGCACGCGTATGCAACGGCACTGACGCATAGCCCTTCGCCGTGGCCGTCGGCGTCGCTGACGTGCACCTCTCAAAAAATTTAACTACATGTCTCAACGATGCGTAGCGCAACCTCTGTGATTGGTCGGCTTGGTAGCGCTGACGAGTCTGGGCGGGGCCGAGAGCCGCGTGAATGATGCGAGCCTGATGGAGCGATTGTTTACAAGTGTGGAGTCCTGTGAAGAAGCTCCTGATGGAAAGTTTTGTTTTGTGTTTACCTCATAGTTAAAGTTGTTGCACGTCCGCCGGTTCCTGCCTCAAAATGAGAGACTTGTACATCCAGAAAGTGTTTAGGAAAAGCAAAACAGCAGTGAAGAAACTCAACACAGAGGAACATTTACACCTCACTGCCAACTAGTGTTTCGGAAGTGTTAATGCAAACCAACAGAGACAGCGCGCAGAAGTATGACGCCCCATTCACACGGGGCATCTGCGTCAACGCTTCCCCTTCACTTTGAATGGGTTACGTCAGGCGTTGCCGAACTACATTGTGGATCCGTCGACGCCGCTTCAGAAGTGTTGCTCGCTGCAGAAGTTGGGACTAGCTGAACTTTTCAAGTGCTGACGGAAGCGTCAGCCAATCAGATCGCTGTATGCAAACACACCAGCTCAGACAGTGGCCTATTGCTGACTGAATTTCATTGGCTGGTGCTTCAGCCCCAACTTCAGACACGCCTTCAGTCAAGCGCTAACGCTGAAGCCCCTTGTGAATGGGGAGTAAATGCACAGCTACTGGCGTTGTATGCGCCGTGGGTTACGCCGGTCACTTGACGCAGAAGTATAAACCAGGTTTCAGAGTGGATGAAAACAACAACACTCAAGGGTTAAAAGGAAACACACTTTTCCCAGACACTGTGTATTTTGACAGTTTTTGTGTTTGATACACAACTTACAAATGAGATGATGTTGATGTTGTTTACTCTCCTTGTTATTTACCATCTATTTATTGACATTATTTTATTGTTTCCCATCTATACAGAGCAGTGCACGTATCAACATCTCTGAAGGCTCATGCCCGGAGAGAATCATCACCATCACCGGTGCCACAGAGTGTGTGTTTCGAGCCTTCACTATGATCACAATCAAACTGGAAGAGGTAAGAGCACAGAGCAATGCACAAAATCTAACAACATCATGATCCGATTTGGATTCTGGGATCCAATTCTTTCGAATTTCTTCTGTACATCTTTACATTTTAACCACAATTGTAGTTTCTATGCTTTTGATCAATGGTTAGAATCACTGTATTTTTTTCTGGAATATCACTCAGCTTAGTCCCTTTATTAATCAGGGCTGCCACAGTGGAATGAACTGCCAACTATTCCAGCATATGTTTTACGCAACGGATGCACTTTCAGCTACAACCCAGCACTGGGAAACACCCAAACACTCTCATTCTCACATACTCATACACTACGACCTATTTTAGTTCACCAATTCACCATATACGGCATTGCGCATGTGTTTGGACTGTTGGGGTAACCCCACACAAACACAGGGAGAACATGCAAACTAGCACTGACAGTGCTAACCACTGAGACACCGTGCTGTCCATTTTTATAGTCTATTGCTAGTTAAAAACAATGCACTTTATTACCTGTAAAAATTAATTTTGCCCTCATAATCTTTAATCGAATGCAATAGCCTTCCCTTCCCCTTGAAAAGGCTTCTAGTTACAGGTAATGTCTTTAGGGCGGGGCTATCTGTCCTTTAAGGCGGGGCTAATAGAGTGTTTCCTCCAATGATCAAATTGGTTCCCAAAATATGCCTCGCACCTTTCAAAAGGCTGCATGCATGGGAGCTTTTCATTTTGAACAAGCCATTTGAAAGACCTTTCACGTTTAAGATCTACTTTCTTTAAAATCAATGATCTTCACTGCCTGACATAGATACAGCATACTTTGAGTGTCAGACTAAACAAGAAGCACCACATTGCAATTCCATTTTTCTGTACCATGTCTTTAAAATATGGATATTCATTCTACCACAGTATTTTCAATAGAGTTTCAGCACTCGTCTGCTGCTCCTGATGGCACTTGCATTCATGGACTTTTATCTCGTTTTATGCTTAACTTAATGAAGACTATTTAATTCAATTCAATTCATCTTTATTTCTCTAGCGAACTTCATTCATTCATTTATTTTCTTTTCGGCTTAGTCCCTTTATTAATCCGGGGTCGCCACAGCTGAATGAACCGCCAACTTATCTAGCACATGTTTTAAACAGCGGATGCCCTTCCCTTCTGGGAAACATCCATACACATTCATTCACAGTCATACACTACGGACAATTTAGCCTACCTAGTTTACCTGTACGTATGTGTTTGGACTGTGGCGTAAACCAGAGCACCCGGAGGAAACCCACGCAAACGCAGGGAGAACTTGCAAACTCCACACAGAAACGCCAACTGACCCAGTTGAGGCTTGAACCAGCAACCTTCTTGCTGTGAGGCAACAGCACTGCCTACTGCACCACTACGTCACCTTCTAGCGTAATAGTTAACTTCCTATTTCTTAAATGTAAGCTGTCAGTCCAGTGTTCAGAGCTGAAGTTTAGTTTAGTTTAGTTTAGTTTAGTTTAGTTTAACTAATGCTGTGCCTTGAATCTTGATAAGCCATGCTGTCCCCTGTTTACTACCAAGTGTCTTATTTCTTGGCATGAAATGGAAGTTAAGATTGTCCTTTTTTCCCCACATTTAGTTTAGTTCAGTTCAGTGTGGTTTAATCTTCTCTACTGAAAGTCCAAACACTGAAGAGCAAATCTATCCATGCGCAGCTCCACAAGACCCAAACCAAGCCTGTGGCTTTGGTGGAGGAACAAACTTCACCAATTAATAGGCTATATTTTAATTCAATTACATTATTGATGTAAAAGGAACCTTATGAAATTGAAAATAGTCACATAAACCTTTCACCGGAAGTTTTATCAGTGGCTGAAACTCACTTGCTTGTTCATATAGTCCAATTATGATGTGTGTAACACACCAGCGATCGCTTCCCAGAGGATCGCTGGTTCTCACACGAACTCTCATGACTACATTTCCGCATTTCCCAGGACTACATTTTCATACATGCACTGCTCCCAAACACGCACGCCTGTGCATTCATCTATCCTGATTGCATCACCAGCTGGACCTTGATCCCATTCATAAGCCACTCTCTCACGCTACCAGTTGGGCCGAGTCTTGTTTTCCCAGTGTGACATTACGAAGCAATTCTCCCCGTCTTGTTTCTCTGTGTTTAGATCCTAGCTTTGCATTCCTTGTTATCCTGTTTAGCCGCCTGCCTTTAGACCTATTGCCTGTTAGATTGACGACGATTCTGGACTGCCTAAACATACCCGTTTGCACCTGATTTGACCATTGCTTGCCTGACATTGAATAAACTGCATATTGGATCTTACCTCCTGTTGTCTCCTGTCACTCCACCCCAGTCGTGGTAACAATGTGGGAAAAAAGGACAATCTTAACTTCCATTTCATGCCAAGAAATAAGACACTTGGTAGTAAACAGGGGACAGCATGGCTCATCAAGATTCAAGACACAGCATTAGTTAAACTGCTGATTGTGACTTGACGGATACCCTCATAATTCACAAGGATCGTTAATGCATGTTCTTTGTCGCAAGGTTTGGAAATGCCATTGTGCACCATTGACCCTTCATGACTTTGGATTGCAACTGCAATCTGATGAAATGTTCGTTACCAAAGCCACCTTAATCAATTTCCCTATTCAGAGATTGCGGATCGATGTGCCCCGCTAACAGAAGGTTATAGCTGACTGAACACACGCGCACCGTTGCTGAAGATAGCCATTGATTTTTATGACCGAATTAAACGATATTTATCCACCTGTCATCCGCACTTATCTCTATCAAGATGTTACTTGCATTAGCAAAGTGGATCGTGTGGAATAAACTCCTGATAAATAGAAACACCTTTATGGTGTATTTTTAGTGTAACTTGGCTACATTTAAATGTGGTCACAAATGTATTCAGTTTACTTTGATTTGCACTGTGTTGCATAAATGGCTAGGCTTAGTAAATAGTAGTTAACTAATTGTTCTACAAATATGTGTTTTTGTAGATATGCATTAGAAAATGAGAAGTAATAATCTAAATCAAGTAATAAAATATTACGTTTGCAACATAACAAGCTGTTGTATTGATAAAAATTAACAAAAATAATAATTGAGCAGTAGGTGATGGCCTTCAGAAACACTTTTGCTGTGCTGGTTGAAAGTTGCTTCACATTCTGAATTCTGATTAAAATCAATGATGCATTTCTAAGTATTCTTATATTCCAAGTAAGCCGTAGGACAAAAAAAAAAATCTTTGTCCAATCAAAATGTTCAGGCTGAACATTACGATAGGCTACCCAAACAAGCCAATCATGCTGTTATCATGCATGCGACAAACCTTTTTTTGCACATCGACAGGTTTTGCTTGCTACAACACCTGAAAATGTTCTAGACATAATTATGTTTATGAAAGGTTTTTAAGTTTGGAATAGTAGTATCATGAAGTACTATAAATGATTTAAACGTATAATTCATTAATAGTTCATTTTAGGCATGGCTTAGTCATGTTAGGTCCCACTTTATATTAAGTGTCCTTAACTACTATGTACTTACATCAAAAAATAAATACAATGTACTTACTGTGTTTATAATGTATTTGAGAACACTTGTGGTGCTTTTGAGTTGGGGTAGAGGTTGGGTTGTGGACAGGTTTGGTGGCATGGGTAGGTTTAAGGGTGGGTTAAGGTGTAAGGGATGGTCAACAATGTATTTATAAATGTAATTACAAAAGTTAATTACAGAAGTAATTACATACATGTATTTAATCAAGCGTAAGTACACAGTAAATACATGTATTTACACAATAAATACATTGTAACAAACTATTAATTCCTGTGAAAGTACATATTAGTTAAGGCCACTTAATATAAAATGGGACCTAATGTTATAATATGAAATCTTACTGTTACAGACATCGTGTTTCAGTTTAAGGACTCTTATTTTGAGTCTTTGTTTTCATAGTTACTGATTGATTTCTGTTAAAATTGCTTATGTTCACTTGTGTCTGGTTTGGTTTGTGATTAGGATGTATACAGCCTTCATTTATATTCTTGTCTTTTGCAAAAGCTGTTGCATTTATACTAGTACTGGGCAAAGAATAATCATGATCAATCACATCCAAAAAAAAAAACTGTTTTTACATAATATAAGTGTCTGTATTATATACACTCATCGGCCACTTTATTAGGTACAACTGCTTGTTAATGCAAATTTCCAATCAGACAATCACATGGCAGCAGCTCAATGCCTTTAGGCATGTAGAGATGGTCAAGACAATCTGCTGCAGTTCAAATTGAGCATCAGAATGGGAAAGAAAGGGGATTTAAGTGATTTTGGACGTGGCATTTCTGAACTGAGTATTTCAGAAACTGGAAAATATCTAGGGTTTACAGAGAATGGTCCAACAAAGTGAAAATATCCAGTGAGCGGCAGTTCTGTGGGTGCAAATGCCTTGTTGATGCCAGAGATCAGAGGAGAATGGCTGGACTGGTTCCAGCTGATAGAAGGCAACAGTAACTCAAATAAGCACTTGTTACAACCGAGGTCTGCAGAAGAGCATCTCTGAACACACAACACGTCCAACCTTGAGGCGGATGGGCTACAGCAGCAGAAAACCACACCGGGTGCCACCGGGTGTCAGCTAAGAACAGGAAACTGAGGCTACAATTCACACAGGCTCACCAAAACTGGACAATAGAAGATTGGAGAAACGTTGCCTGGTCTGATGAGTCTCCATTTCTACCGCCACATTCGGATGGTCGGGTCAGAATTTGGCCTCAACAACATGAAGGCATGGATCCATGCTTTCTTGTATCAGCGGTTCAGGCTGGTGGTGGTGGTGTAATGGTGTGGGGGATATTTTCTTGGCACACTTTGGGTCCATTAGTTCCAACTGAGCATCGCGTCAATGCCACAGCCTACCTGAGTATTGTTGCTGACCATGTCCATCCCCTTTATGACCACAGTGTATCTATCTGATGGCTACTTGCAGCAGTATAACACCCCATGTCATAAAGC